TTGTGCATTGCCGACATTGAAAGGTGTCTTCCCCGGACCCAACACAGCCATGGCGCGTTCACACTCTTCACTCTCCCACACATCAATCATTTTCGCCGAGTATTCCGCTACAGCATCTGTCACACGGGGGGGTTCTAGATCGGAATCCATCGCGGCTGTAAGAGCCGATGCCACAAAGGAAAAATAACTCTCACGGGCAGTCTCATGCGTACCGTCCATAGCAGGCAGGGATTTGTGGGGAAGGCGGGTTGCAAAAAGGGAATCGCTCGAAACGCCACGAATAAAACGCAATTTTCCGTGCATCGTTTGCGTACCGTTGGGGTTGATACGGACCGCATGCTTGTGAGACACCTTCCATACCGAGAAAAGGTTGAAACCACACCCGGGTACAAACAAAACTTCTGGCACAGTGACGTCCAAATCCTCCTGTTTCCCGTCGGCTCCGATCTGGTGGAACCTAAGGTCCAAACTCCCTACAGCGGCAACCTTGATGAGAGCCGAGTCTCCAATCTGAATAAATCGTTCATCCGGGCCCAAGTGGCGTACATTGTACATTGCATCCACTTTGTTCGTAATCATCGCACTAGCTCCAGAATCGGCCTGCCATTGTTCACTACCAATCGGATTCGGCATGGAGGGTTGGCACAAGAAAGCTTTCTCAACCGTGGGACGGCGGGTGAGACGGGCTACGACTACCTTTCAAGGCACATTTGGTACAGCAGGGACAGATGTATCACACTCCGGAACGCCGAGCACTTCATCAGGACTCTCAAGTGCAGCGGGCATGCGAGGTACGTCATGAGTAGACACACCAAACTTCAAGACACCGAATTCATCATCAGAACGTTCATGCACAGCAGGCACGCGGGGAACACCAGGCATTGACTCATGAGACTCCGCACTCGTGAACCCGTCAGACTTCGAAAAACCAACATCCTTCTCAAGATCAATCTCAGACTTGCCTCGAGAGCACACGCCACGTACCATGAAGAGATGCAGAGGGGAATCGCCGGCTGGAGGTAGAGCGTCACCAGGAGCTGGAGAGGGAGAGGAGGAGGACGAGGTGACCTGGGGTGCACCGTAGTGCTGCTGCTGCTGATGCTGCTGCGAGGTGTCCAAGGCCTCGTAGACTCGCGGTTGTTGGGCGTCCGGTCCGGCAGCAGAAGGATAGTGTGGTACATTGCTCACTTCTTGCTGCTGGTAGAGCCCTCCGCCGTCGGGGAATGGGTGGAAACCGTGTCCCCCGCCGGCGGCGCTGCCGTAGGGACCTCCGCCATGGTCCACTCCGTGAGCCGCGAGCCCGTACCCGTAGCCTGCCTCAGGGGGTGGTGGGGTCCAGCTGGGTGTAGATCCGGGCGCTGACGTGGCCTCCCATCCCAAGGTGATGTCGCCGCCTGATGGTTCTCCACCTCCGATGGCGAAATGAGCCGGAAAATAGGGCCGCGGTACGTTAGCAATCTGCGCGGGAGGAACGTTAGGCGGCGGATAATTACCACCACGGCCGCCCACCTGACGACCTCGGCTCTCCGGGGGGGAAGGACCGTATCCACCATACCCACGCCCCCCAGAGTTGCGCCCCTGCAGCTGTCCTCCAGTTCCGGATCCTTGCCCACGCGGCGGTCCCGGCAGCGCTGGAGAGTGGCCCCGACTCCAGCCCGCACCTTGCTCGTTTTGGTACGGCTGCTGTCGATATGGGCCACCAACCATCCGCCCCGAGTCTTGGGCTCCGCCTCGAGGGAAGACCGATCCCTGGGCCTCCCGCCTCCCGCTCATGTACGCGCAGAACTCGTTGTAGTGGGCGAGGAATTCGTTGCGTAACTTGTGACATTCGGAGGTCTCGTGGGTGCTGTTGGGGCCGTGGAGCTGGCAGAAGTGCGATGGTTGCTGCTGATGTGGCTGCACCGACCTTTGTGTGGTTGCTGGAGTCGATGTCCGCCTTGCTCCGATCCTGTAGCGGCTGGTTTCCCCTCCTCGCCGCCCCGGCCCACGCCGGCAGCGACGAGGGCGTGCCTCATCTCTTCCTTCCCCTCT